ACTACAACACAACTATAGTGGAGTTTTTACACAATGGAGAAACATTTACAAGAAAACGCAACTAGGGACAATGGGTTTAACCAGCCTAACCTGTTCTTAGACAATGATCTAGACACATGCTGTCAGTCTAGATAAAGTACCTTGGCTGCATCCCAGTGCAGCACTGAGACGCCCAGAAAAACCAGTGAAAATGAGAAGAGGGAAATGGAAACCACAAAAATAAAGATGTCCATGTAATGACATACAAAAGAGATGGGAGAAGCGAAAGAAAAACACCCAGTGTGAAAGACAACACCTTTTCAGTGAATCGCTTCAAAGTACAGTCAACAGATATTTTGTTGTACTACGCGTCCTCTGCTATGCAGCGGATTTAAGACATTTTCACTAGGTAGCAGTCTTTTGTTAGGCATTAAAACTGTGCCACGTTTACAGAAATCTACAAATATTAGAATATATTTAGAATATCATTTCCAACTGAATCTGGTATCAGTGAGGAAACATGTCCTTGTTTGACACTCACTGCCATTGATAGTAACACTGTTTAAAAGTTCTTGTGTGCAAGTTTATGATGTGTAAAAGGCAGTGGGTTAGCAGGGTCTGAAAAAAAGACTGAAAAGCAACGGACATCAGATTTCAGTCTCATGAGTACAGTTGTATTCACGTGAAACAAAAAAGGGAAATACTATACAATAATTGAGTGCACCGATACTGCTGACGTTGTCAACAAGTACGTCAAAGGACCATTGATCCGTTACAGGTTAACCTTGTCTGCCAGTCATGAGCGGCCCTTCAGTCATCCATGCCAGTGTGAGCCCCCCAAAGGCAAACAAGTAGCAAGGCCATGTCCTGAGCTGAGCTGTGTTTGTGGCCACCGATGGGCTTCCAGCCAACGTTTACATGTCAAACACAATGAAATGAAAAGCTGCTAGGATATAGGGAGAGAAAATGGGAATATTGTCATTTCATTCACATGTACTGCCATGGTAAAAGAAGCTAGACGCTACAGACTTGACATTCAACAGAAAAACGTGAGTGCAAAGTATGTCGACAAGGGGACCGAAAAAACCCTCGAAACAACCTCAGTTTGAACCACGTCTCTGGTGTAATCATTAAGATTTTACCATAAAACTTAATGTAATGATGAGTATCTAATTTTCCTCACGTGACCTTCGCAGAACTGATGACCTGTAGTGCAGTCACAAATCTGTCCCATACAAAAACAGCAATCACAGACACAACAAGTTATAAAGGACTTCACAAAAAAAAAAAACATTCTAAAAGGGAAAAAAAAATGGGGATTGGCATATTAACCATTGTAGAACATTTACTTCAAGGACAAATGTTTGGCACAGGTTTTAAAACAATCTGCAATGGAGTGGACTTTGAACCGTCCTTATTTGGTGGAATTGTGCAATGGGAGACATATAAACCCATGATGTTTTTCTTTTAAATAAAAAGCTACTTTAAATATTATTAAAACACCAATATGGTGAATATATATTTAAGAAACTACAGGAAATTAAATACATTTCCACATATAATTCCTTATCAGCCATTGAGTGAAAAAAAAGCTCATGGTTAATAGTTCTTGGTTTGTACATTGCAATCAAATGTGTAGTGTATAATTTCTCAAACCATAAAACACAGAAACAGAGCAGATGGTTAATACTCATGGGGTTACATACTCTGAAGTTAAGATGTTGGACATCAGTTATTCAGGAAGCTCAAAAAATCAATCAGGCAAAATGACCTGAATGTTCAAGAAATCATTGATTTGAAATTTGAACATGGCAGTGTCATTATCAGACCCCCTAAAGTTGCAATGCAACATATAATATCCATTCAAATGGCTCACATTAGAATATATATACTTCAATGCAAAACAAGTCAAAGGCAGCTGAACAGTACGTTGCGTTGACTTAAGTTTTTAAGAGTCTGTATTTTCTTCCTTTGCATATTCCTCTACAAGTGTCTCATACGAGTGGCTGTGTTCTGAACCGTCACTAGTGAACACTGAGCCTTCAGATTCAGAGCTCTGCTCCTCCTTGGAATTTGTTTCAATGTTTTCGTCACATGTCGTGACAGATAGTTTTGCTTTGGAATCATCATCATCATCATCGTCGTCGTCTTCCTCCTCCTCCTCCTCTAAGTTATTGCTGAGGAAATTTTCCTCGTCAATAAAAGTAATGTTTGCATTTTGGAACGTCAGGGGGTGGTACTCTTTCGAGTCCCACGTCCTTCGACCACCTGTTCCGCAATCTCCCAATCCTCGTTTTTCAATATCGACGTCCTTATCAAGTTGGTTCTCGTACATTTGGTCCTGGTCACCCTCCACCTGATCTTCTGTTAGCAGCAAACCATTGTCTGAGCCCAGGAGGTAGTTTTTGGACTTTGAAAAGGCAACGGTGACGCGGTCACTGAAACTGTAGCGTCTCTTTTGTCGAGGCGAACGGTCCAGACTGAGGATGGTGTTAAACATGGGAGCATCATTGCAACTCTTGGAGCGGTTGATGTCTTTGGCTTTATCGATGGTGTTACCGGCGCTGCCAGAAATTCTGTTGTTTTTCTTGTTGCCGATCTGTTTTATCAGGTCGTTGTAGCCTTCCTGCTTCTTGGACAGGAAGCTAAAGATGTTGACATCATTGGGAGTGGGTGGCAGACGAAGGGCGGCCTTGTGAGACTCTTTGTAGTGACGGAGCTCGTCCAAAGATAGCTTGCGCAGCTTTCGACGTTTCTTCAGTGCTTTGTGAGCTTCGATAACCATCCGCACTTTCCAGTTGAAGAACAAAGACAGCCAGGCCAACCCCAGATAAATCCACACCTCCACAAAGTAACGGTACAGAGTTGGGTAATCTTTATTTGGTTCCACACCTGTAGAGTAAGGAAATGTTTTGAGTCATTTGAGTTTTAGCCTTTTATCATTTGATTGGTTCAATCAAGACATCAATTATAATTCCCTTGCTATTTATGCATGATTTAAATATGATTACATGACTGGGTAAATAAATGTGACATGTTCAACGCCATCGGAAGAAAGCTGCTTTTATTTACAGGTTTTCTATTAGTTAACTCACCTGCTACCAGGTCTCCAAAGCCAATTGTAGTCAAGGTGACAAAAGAGAAGTACAAGCCTTCAATGTATGTCCAACCCTCCTGGGACATAAACACAAAAGGTGGAAGCACTAAATGGACCAGCACGCCCCAGAGGAGAAAAATGGCTGTGCAGGTAAACTGAGCCTTTCTCTGGAAAAAGAAAAGAGAAACAGTTATTTCAGGTCAACATTTTACACCAGAGGTAAAAATGTGTTTGCAAGAAATAAAAAAAATGTCATCATCAACATACCAGTGAAAACCCTTTCTTGGTCAGGTATTGGCCCAAGTGCTTGGCTCTGCCACCAAAGAATTTTCCAAGCTCACTGATCCAGGTGAGACACAGAGGAACACCGAAGAGCCCATAGAAGATACAAAATACACGGCCTTCTGACGTTTTGGGGGCAATGTTGCCATATCCTTTAAAAAAAAAAAAAAGTTGTTACAGCGATACATACATTAATAAACAGACATTTCATTTTAGTATGGCTTCAGGAGAAGGTTCTTCAGCATTCAAGTGTAATATTGTTTATCAATGTAAATCAAAGTAAGACATTGTTAAACGACAAGCCCATTGCATGTTTGTGCCTGCTAGAGCAACATTGCCAAATTGTATTTTCACATGAATGTTCAGAAAACTTTTGTCAAAACAAAATTTTAAAAAAGCCCCTTTATCAAGCAGAACTAGATGCATCACTTCTGAACCTCTAAACGTGCTTACCAATCGTGGTGATAACTGTGGCCGCAAAGATGACAGCATTTGGCCAATTCCAATTGTTGAAAGTCTTGCTGCCCGTTATAGTGACCCCCTGGCCTGCAGCATCGGACACCACCTGAAGAAAAGAAAAAGACGACAACTGAGAAAACGATAGAAAAATATGCCATTAATTGGCTGTTATAAGAGACTCCAATCTGATTAATCAAAAGGAAGACAGGAAGTTTGTTGTGTGCAAGCTTAATTTCTTGCAACACATCCTTCCTGGCGTGCGATTGCATCTCATGCGGCACTGATGAGCTGAAACGACACGGCACCCTGGAGAGTTGCCTTTAACCCGAGGGCATGGTAGTTTCGACCAATGCTTACTTTAGTATGGAAACAGGAAGGCAAATGCTGCATCCCTAAACAGCTATTTCTTAAATACGATGGAAATTTGGATTAAAAAGAGCCAGGTTATTCAACGATTGTCGTCTCTTGTTTGTCTTTCTTTTCCAAGATTCAAAGATGCACAAAATAATCAGTCTCATGTTGTGCTGAACCCACAAGAGATATTTTTCCTCCAACCACCTTGAACATGACATACATCGGCTTACAAGCAAGTTTTAGTGTTGAAATCAAGAGGAGGCAGAAAATACTTAAATCATTCCTGACCAAATGTGTGCTCGAATGGCCACAACAGAAACTGAAGTGTCCCTTGTGTATTTGCAAACACTTGGCCATGTGTGCTGGGACTGGGACAACCCCCCCACCCCCCCCAGCACACACACCAAAGTTATTCTTTCTTCAAATGTGCTAGAAGTGATGGAGGGGAGTGGGAGTGAAATGTGCAGGGGTTGGCAAAATTCACATAAGCCCTAAAGTACTAGAGGATGCTTGGCTCTTTTAATAATAACAGGTCTGTGACAGTTCTACAGTGTAATTACCGGCACAAGGGGAGGCCATTCTTTTGTCTGCTGCAACAACACAGCTCTTCCACTGGGCTTTAGGATGACAGTAGTGGTGAGCAAGTTTGTGTTCAAATCATGACTGGAAATTAAAGAGGAAAAACCTCAGCCGAGTGGATAACTGTACGTTTTTACATTTGCCAGTTCTTGTGACAGCATCTGTAATGATCGCTGTACACATGGGGTAAACTAAGGGATAATACAAAAAATAAATATGTCTCGATCTACTGGGAATTGTTCGAACCATTCTTTGAATAACACGTTACATCCCCTGGGTGGAACCACATATTCATATTGACTGCCACTGTATTTACTTGTCAGAATATTGACAGCACAGTGACACTTCAGGAGACGATCAGATTTCAGTTAGGGCCAGTGCCCCCTGGCTCTACCAATAAATTTGCACCTAACTATAAGGCGCTGCGGGAAACCCTGATGTGTCAATCAAACCTCAAGTAGAGGAAAACCTGAAGCACAGTAGTAAGTCAAGGAACCTTGCAGTCTCCTCTTCCACACATTCCTGATGTTTTTGAGAGTGACTTTTCAAGCAACTCTTTTTCTATATGTCATTATATATTTGTCGAATCTGTTTCCATTCCCCTTTTTTAACTCTGCCAAGTGGTTTTTTTTTGTGCAGTATTATCTTTTTTCAAATTTACAGTATTTCCACACAGGTTTTTATGACACGGGTCATAAAAACAGCTGGATGGAAACACACCTTCTGATACAGCAATTCCTCCATTGCAGCCAGTATGAAATCTCAATCCCCTCCCCTCCTACACCCTTCCTCAGTTACGACTGTTTTAACAGCTTGAGGTTTGTTTGCTGTATGGAAAACCTAAAAAAAAAGTGACAAATGTTAAATCGTTTGTGGGTCACGACTGTGAACTGTGAGTGTTCAGTCCGCACCTAAACTTGATTCCTATGAGGGCGACTCTTGCACATGTTTGGTCAGTCTGCCAGATAAAATGTGCTGAAATTTCAGACATGCAAAATGCTGACTCATAGGAATGTAATGGGAACAGATTGCAAGCAAAAGAGGACAGAGAATTTGACCTCTGAAACTAAAGGTAGACTATGGAGGTTAAATGTTAACATGCTGATGCATTTTTTAAACATTCATTAAACTAACTTGATTTTAACCTACAGAACATGGGAATGAGAAGCAGTTAATTTTCATTACGACCACAAAGAGTGTTAAATTGAGCACAAACCAGCTCAGGAGGAAGTTGCATTACTAGCTTTTTTAAAAATCTAGACACTTCAAACCCCAGCTACCAACATGGATAAAAGTTTGCTGGACAATTCATAAAATATGCACAATAAAGAGTTAAAGAATTGCCTACAGTTTAAACCACAGATTAAACCTCCATTTGATGTGTCTTCATTTTTCTTCTTAATGTCAAAGTTAGTTCTGGAAAATAAAAATTCAAAAACGTGAAAAAACAACAAATAAAATCAGCAATTTCTGTGAATAAATTCTGCAGATATAAATCTCTCAGAATTATTTTTTTAGCGAAGTAGCACTGTGCCAGGAGGGACAACCAGAGCATGACAAATGGAACGAAGGGGGGGGGGGGGGATATGTGAAGATGTGCCAAATAAAATGAAACCACAGGCACAAAGACTTTCTGAGCTCACTGATGATGAACTTCTACAAGCACTACATCTTTTTAAAAATTGAAATTTGCACTTTAGTGCCACTACTAAATGGGACTGTATGGTGCCATTTTATACAGCACAATTGTACAGACTGTTCTGACTGTAAGGGGGAGTAAATGTTGAACGACTCGCCAAAAGGGAAACTCCTACATACTTTCAAGATTAATGGCAAACCAGAATAGTGATAACAATGTGTAACATTTGTACTGGTTACTTGTAATGTGTCAGTCTCTGGTGTTCTTTTACCTGCCGAATATAAATGTGGCATGCTTGCACACTCCAGCATATGTACATATTTAACACCAATGTTTATTAATGTGCTCTTTTCCTATCAAATAAATATTTTGGGATTATTAAACTTTACTATATCAGTTGGTGGTAATGTCACATGACATTAAAAACACAAAGTTTGCTAAAAATGTGATGCTGTCAGCTGGAAGTTGCAATAAATAGAAGAGAGAGAGGACAGTGCCAGAGTGGAAACAGAAATTCCAGCAAGACCTCGGAGATTTTTCTTTGTGATGTTATATTTTCTGAGACAAAATAATAATTTTGAACCTTCAGTGAAAAAGAAAACTATAGACAAACGTTGCCACTGTTGTAAGCTGAGGATTGCACAAAGCTGTGAAAATTGGTTGCTATGAAATACATGAAGTTGAATTAAATTCAAACTAAAAGCAACAATATGGTGCACAAACTAAACCAGAGCGTGTGCCACACAGATTCCTCTAGTGAAACACTCCCTCTAAATTCTAGGGAAGTGAAACAATAGCAAAACTGCAGACTAAGCAGTTAGCAGTTAGCACTGCCACATTCTGATAACCAGTGAACAGCATAAACCACAGTGTCAAACTTATCAGCACAGCTGGCGGTGCAGCACACCACTCCAGCTCTGAGGTATTTTTCCACTTCTAGCAAACAGGCAACAGCTGCTCGTGAGCAGGATTGACCGACTTCCAAACAATGAAGTCACTCCAGCTCGTCCATGTCATTCCATATTGATTTCTGATATGGAGGTGGATGGCTCCTAGAAATAAAATGACATTTTACTGTCAGCAGTGCAACAATCAACAGATCCAACACAGAGCGTGAGGGGTGGTGGAAAATCTAGAAAGGTGCAGGGATAGAGTTTATTTTAAAATAAACCAATCAAGTCTTCAAAAATAACATTCATTAAAGGTTCAGTGTGTAAGATTTAGGTGAAAGGGATCTATTGGCTGAAATTGAATACAAAATAATCCTAGTGATGTTTTCACTAGTCTATTTAATCTAATTGTATGAATTGTTGTCTCTTTACCCTAGAATGGGCCCTTTATATTTAAATACTTTATATTTACATCGGGAGGGGTCCTCTCTACAGAGGCCGCCATGTTTTTTTACAGTAGTCCAGACTGGACAAACTAAACATCTTTTGAGTTTTGATGAAAATTGAAGGCTGCCACATGTATTTTTCATGTTTGGAAGGGGAGGTTGAGGTGAGGGGTATTCAGCAATTCAGAAACATGCAAATACGCCACTAAATTCTACACACTGAACCTTTAAGACAAAGTACAGACAAATTGTATCCGTTTTACAGCTTTTCTGTATTTGGTAAAGATAAATGGATGAGCTGTAAAATCCTAAGAAAGCCAAAACCATTTTTATATCACATCTGGTTAACAGATGTCATACCATTAACAGATCTGAAAGCAATAACGCCAAACATGTTAATTCTCCTAATTCTTTGATGAGTATGAGTAACATTTGGTCACACTCAAATTTTTAGTTTGTTGCAAATTTGCTGCTTAACTAGGTTAATGAAAAGTACACACAGTCAACTGTGGAGTAAAATATAACTAATCACTGAGGTCAACAAAGTTATTTGTGTCTTGCTTATTAAATAGCCTTGAATTCTAAACTCGTGATGTTAACATCCACTGCTACCTTCCTTAACTTAATTTTCTTATGCTTTTAAAAAAGAGGAGGAAAGTCTTAACCATTTCTAACCAGCACCACGGCAACCTCGACACATGACAAAGTTAAAGATCCCCCGAAACAGTGTATCACTTCATTCATTTGCGCTTTCCATTCTGACCAGAGGCCTTGTACCCTTTAAGCGTGTGTTGATAAACAGCATTTGCAAGCATCTTATTTGACCACAGAAACGTGATCTTCCAGTCATGTGCAGGGGGAATACTGGAGCAACTTAAGTAGTCATGCACGCAAGTGAAATCAAAGCAACACAATGTTCCTCAGAAAAGTCAAAAGGCAAAAAGTGCCAAGAAAAGCTGCACTGAGGAAAAAGGCTAATTGAAAAGTGTGCATCACTGGTTACAGTTTGACTCGTGACAGGTGACAACTGACCCTAATATCCCGGTTGATTAAAAAAAGTTTTAAAAAAAGACGCTACATTTGTACTTGGGACATTTGGCTGCAGACATAGTCGATATTAAATAAATATAGGGCTGTTTATTAATACAACTTTTCATTTTCATGATTTGCAGATGTTTTAATAAAAGTGTTTGGGACATCTAGGGTTACAATTCAATATAATTTGTATAGGGCCTAGAAAAACTGCCGCCTCAAAAACCATATTACACCTGAATAAACACCTCTTTCACACAGTTTATAACAAAATAGAGATTTACATACATACAAGTGTAGTTTAGGGGAGTATGTGTTATGTATTCTGCCACCCCCCACCTTCGCAACCCCCCACTGAGATTTTACGACCCCTTTTCTAGAGCCAACATTGATGGGCCATAAAATACAATGTTTAAAGTGTGACCACTTCAAGGGTCCTATAGTTAATAGTAAACTCCTTGTTAATAAAAACAGAGAAGACTAACTTTTACAGCCGTGCAGTCGCCTTCTCTTGTTAAGCCAGCTTATATATTTTAATTGTTAACAAGCCGAGCATAGTTTCCACAGTGGAAACCCAATAGAACTCACTGCTCCTAACACAAATGAGCCAACTCGATTGCAACATACTGCACGTTTCTCTGTTTTTATATACTGACAGCAGAAAAAAAAGCCTTTGGAGCAGGTGTCCTGGCAAACTGCAACAGAGGAAAAATACTGGGCGACTGCACTTCTAGAACGGCAGTAACATGATAGCTCAACTGTCTGTGTAGGTGAAGAAAGAGTTAAGAAGTGATTTAATATCATCTTCTGACAATGCCTTCAAAACCCCCACACATGGTATTAAGTGGTCTTTGTCACAAGGAGAGCGGAGCAGCAAGCAATATTTCAGCTGCAGTCGAGAAGCCTCTGAAAGAGTTCAACCTCGAGCCTTCCAGCTGTTGTTGCAGCAGCAGCAAACTGTTGGAGGTAAAATTCCCAAATCTCTCAATGATTATATTCCTGCTGCAGATTTTGGCCAGTGCAGCTATTTGGCTGTTAGAGAGGTGCCATGAGTTGGGGGAGGTTCAGGAACATATCCCTTTCAGAGGAGGAGAGGGTGAAGGGAGCAGGAGGGGCAGAGAGAGGGGGGGGGGGTTGTAATAGTAACTCCCTAATACTGACATGGGCCCACAGAAGGGTAACAGGTTGAGACATGTTTCTGGTCATAAGGCTACATCCATACAACTACATTTTTGTTTGAAAATCTATCAACTCTGCTAGAGTTACATCTGGCATCTACACTCTGGAGTTTTAGAGACACTAATATGGAGAAGTTTGGAAAGTGTGCTGGCCCTGTTTCAGTTTGTGTGAAAACTACAGGCTGAGTTGAAGTCAGTCAGAAACTGAGATGTTAGGAAACGATGACGTAGACACTCACAACAACTTGCTGGTCGTTTTGGTCACACAACGTATCTTTCATTGATTTGTCAGGCTCCTAACACAAGACAGAGTTCCGGAAGAAAACAATCAGCATTAGCCTCAACGTCCAGTGTAAATCACAACATGAGTAATCTAAAGTGTTGCTGACCCTGTTGTTTTTACCAACAGCTGTTGAGCAGTTAAATTCTGCATGTAAACAGTGATACAACACCTTACATGTGCAGGAGACAAGCTGTTATTTGAGTAATCTGCGACAATGCCTGTGTCCAGTGGGACATGCATGCCTTCCTGTTCACACCGGCATGCGCATGCTCAGTGTACGCCAGTGGTCATGGGATATGCGTTTTCAGGCAGTATGGACGGGTATTAAATTTCACACTGAGCCAAAACACTGTTGTGGACAGATTGTTTCATGTAGTAGTACGAAAAAGTTTTTCTCAGACAAGGACCCCATACATTCTGGGTACATCCTCATGTATGTCCCTCGGAATAATTTTACATGGCCCAATTTTTTTACACCTCAACACAGAAAGATCTTGGACATGTGCAAAAAACATTTCACCGTGTCAACACAGACTGAAAGTCCTGATCATTTTAATAGATGAATGTGGAAACTTTTCACAGATCCCCTGGCTGTGTGCCACGGGCCCCCAATTTAAGAACCACTCCACGACTGCATCTTCTTGTTTTGCTCGAAAAGCAAGATTTTGAAAATCGAAAGTGGACAAACACCTGTGAAACAAGAGTGAGTGGCATAGTGTGTTCAGTCAGCTGACAGTAAAACCCACATGAGGTCAATGGCACCACATTTACTACTAGTTCAATAATGCAATTTTGATAAGAAATTGGCAGTGGAACACCATGTACTGTGTCTGCAGCCGCTGTGGTGGGTTACAGGTTGGCCCTGCACATCTGGTTATCAGGACCACTGCTCCACACACACAATCACCCGGGTAATAAAATAATTATCTGCATTAACTATGAACACAGTCAGGCCTCATGCACCAGAGATAACAGGAGGGATCATATCTGTGGCAGACTGGGAGACTATAGGAGACAAGTGTGTGTGTGTGTGTTTGTTGACCCACAAAGATGAACAGTGGACTGACAACACCTCATTCCTCTGTGTGTGTGTGTGTGTGTGTGTGTGTGTGTGTGTAGTGAGAGTAAGAAACGAACCAGCTGAGGCCCATTAAGCCCTCGTGTCATCCCTTTCAAATTAAAAGTCTAAGTGCAGCACAATGTGAAAACAGTTGAAAGTTGATAAAAGTAAAGTTGAAGAACATACCTCAAGTATTCTGTCCAAGTCATCTTTCGTCAGACACGGATAGTCCTTCAGTATTGAATCCTTCTGGGTATTATACTTCGTTGCAGCCCGTTCCCAATTGGGCTCCTCCAGGACTTGAAAAATGGCCGCCCCAATGGACAGGTAAAAAATAATGGCAGAAGTCAACAAGGGGCCTTTATCTACCATACTTTAAGTGTAATGACTCGGCTGAGGAGAGACAGAGAGGGCGCAGGATGAGGAGAGAAGGGAGGAGAAGAGAGAGGAGGAAGAAGAGGGGGTGAGAGACAACAATACCCGAGAGTTACGCGGGACTCATTCTCACAGCGGCTCTATGCGCGCGCATTCAAAAAGTGCTTGTTCCTCCGCGCGACGGTTCAGCACAGTGCACGGTGACAGCATCGAGACGTGCGCGCTGCACAAGTGTAGAGAGGGGCTGAGCGCGCGACTACTACTGCCACTACTACTGGTACTACTGCTGCTGCTGCTACTGGTACTACTGCGACTACTGCGACTACTGCTCCTCAACCACGTGCAGCTGCTGCACCGCTGGGCCGCTGCTAATGTAGTGAACAGTGATCGGGGGGAGGAGAGGGGACACACAGGGGAGGAGAAGGATGGATGGGGGTGTGGAGAGGAGAGGAGGGAGATCCGCCCCAAAAAAAAAAATACAGAGAGCAAGTGGAGGCTATCTCTCTCTCTCTCTCTCTCTCTCTCTCTCTCTCTCTCTCTCATTCTCTAACTGTGTCACTACAGATGTGCTAGCACCGAGCAGAAGTTGGTCGAACACACTCTCTCTCTGTGCGTGTTTGATATTTACAAAGTTCAGATTAACTGAATCTGTCATTCGCCCCAAACTGATCCAACTTTCACTTTTCCCCACTTTCTGGAATTTGCTCTAGTTGCATTGTTGCATATGACATCGGATCATAAAGGTCCTTGTATTGGTTCAATAAAATAACCTCAATGGAATGCATGAGTCAAAATCAATAAATGTCCTCCTTATAAAATGCAACACAAAGTGCTTTACATAAAAGCATCTAAAAACAATAATAATACGAATATGATTGAATATAAAGAAGAGGCTAAGCTCACAGTGTACAGGACGAGCCATCAGGTAACATTAGTCATTGCTTGAGCCAAACAATAAACTTTATTTATGTAACGCCTTTCAAAGCACAATCTGTGTCACAAGTTACAAGTTACAAATAAAGAATTCAGGGTAAACAATACCAATCAATTTGAAGATCACACAAGTGAATTAAAGACATGCAAAATAATGTATGACTTTATATATATATATACATGAAGTCATAATATATCACATATATTAAATAAACCTTTAAAATAGTGTTTGTGTTTATGTTTGTTTTGAACAAATTAAATAAGTGATCTTATGGTTTGATTATTTTTTATGCCAGTGGCTGCTTATGCATGTTTTTCACAATAATTTCTCGTCAGGTGAACTGCGAAACCAATAAAAAAATCAATTAGATCATAGTCTAAATTAATGCAATAAAGATCCATATTCAGCTGATTACAGATATCAGCTTTTCGTGGCATAAAATCCATTGATTGTCAGCCTCAAATTCCAGCCCCATTGATTCTTTACTGATTTTTCTTGATGTAGTTTATTGTTAACATCTGAAAGACTTGAAATTGGCCCAATATTGACTTAAGCAGTGCCACTGTATAAGATTCACATAGGTTTCCTGAGTTCTTGTACATTAATGCATCTGAGGTTTTATATGTTTAGGGTATAAGCTACATTTTAGCAGATAACTTCCAGAAATGTCACAATCCAGCAAAACACTCCTATATATGCTCAATATGTCAAAGTGGGAAATTCACTCCACATGTGAACCTGTTCGACAAAAAAATCTTACAAGGGTGTTTGCAGAGATAGTGTGCATCAATTTGCAGTGATCTTGCAAATGAAGACGTGCAGTAGAAATAAGGCAGAGGGACGTGCACCCTGAAGGTAATCTGTGTCAATGCTCAAACGTCAACTGCTCAAATGTTTGCCCAAGTGATGCATTCTGTTTTCTTTGTTGATGCTGCGAGGAGCAAAGATCAAACAAAGGAACAAATATATTGATTGGTGTTTAAGTAGAGTCACAGATCTTCAGACAGAGATATGACGGCACTTCAGTCAGTCAAAGTACAAAACCAGACACTGAGTGGAATTTTCCATTAGTTTACATTAGAAAGAGAGAGGAAAGGGAAAAATCATGTTGTTTGACATTTCCAAACGCTGTAGCCCATAGTGCACAAATGGGGCTAACAGTTGGTGGCTGCATGTGTGAGAATTCATGGCATGCAAGGCAATAAGATATTGCATCATGATCACTGGTGTGCTACTTGCCCCAGGCCTTTTTTTCCTTCAGTGTGTGTGAGTGCATGTGTGTGTGCGTTCTGATTTATACTCAGGCAAGGACAAGTCAACTTTAAACTCAAGCAGTTTGTTTTTAGAATTTTTTTGCGATTTGCACTCGTACATATTTCTGTCAAGTCATACTTCCTGTTGCAACTCATGATTTATTATATGTTGCATAATTATAATGCTTTCCTCTTCACACAATTGCTTTACAGTAAAAGCAAATGAGAGCACCGACTAATGATCAAAAATGAATGTGAAACTGTAGAAGAGCCATGCAGGAGTATGTTTCCAGTTGCAGTTATATCACGCTGACTGTGCAGCTCTGTGGTGCAAGTATTAACCTGTTCTGAGAACAAACCAGTGCAGGTAAAGGCATCATGAGGAAAGAATACCTTACTTTCATTCGATAGCAAAAAAAAAGCAGCTTTACTCATGTCAAAGAAGATGTTTGACAGAGGTGGCCTATATTTACATGCCTGTATACACAACATCTTCCTTCATTAAAATATTTAGGTTAGGCCCAAAACAGTAATTTTGTGTATCCGTGACAAGATGTTTTCTTTCATGCCTGCAGGCTGCAGCAGCTCTTCTCCAGTTTCAGTTTCTGAATCGGTAAGCGAAGATTTATAACATCCTCTATCTTTAGAATGACATTACTAAGGTAATACCTCCACCACAGCCCAACAAATTGCACATGCTCATAGATATAAGTTGTTTATTCTTCATAAAGATCTCTGCATTATTTCTTGAGAAAATAAAATGTGAATGAAATTGACAAAAAAATCCTGGATCTGCCCCTTTAATCGAATCCAAAAGTTGATGAGTTCTCACTTGATCTATATCCCACCCTTCCACCAACTTTCAAGAAAAATGGTTCAGAAGTTTTTGCGTAATCCTGGTGATACACAAACAGCAATGAAAACATATCCTCCTTGTGGAGATAATGATCGATGATGATGACGTGATAATCTCAAAGATTTAGATGGGAGCTTTGTGGCATTTCCTTTTAAATTCACCTCAGAAGCAGAAAAATCTGATCCATTCTGTTTTTTGATTCACTCCACCAAGGAGGTAATATCTCTCCAGCATTTATCTGTCTGTTAGTTTGCAGCATTACACAAAAACTACTGGACAGATTATCATGAAACTTGTTGGAAGAATGCGGGATGGGTCAGGGAAGAACCCCAGTACATTTTGGGGAAGATCCAGGAGTTTCCCAAGCTTCCCACATATTCCTTAATTGAGAATTATGTCTGAATCTTTGCCAGAAATCAAATAGGGGTATTTCCAGAACTTGCCAACTACTCTTTTGAATTTTAACACATGACCTCCTCTTCTTTATACAACTGTATTGTACAATAAACAGATAATGGCAGGCTTGGTGTGCTGGTATCTCTCTGCGCACGGACAGAGATAAGAGATGACCAGCAAGACAAGGTTTTAAGGTCCTGGCATACAACAGTTCTTACATAACACTCATTCCTGCTTTGCAATGTGGAAAACAATAAAGCTGTAATAACATACTTAATTTAAATAATTTCATCCTGTTTTTCAATTTAAGTTCATGTAGCAAATACATTTGATCAGTTGTAATGTGGTTTTACAGAGTTTTTGTCGAGACACACACACGATCAAATACAGCCCTTAAAGTCTTATTGCGATAAAATAAAAGACAAATCAAGCAGCCCACAAACTTTGACATCAGTATTATTTCCCATAACATCAGATAGGTAAATGTTTTCTAAATGTTGTCCTATTTTTTAGAGACACCACACACTGTACACTGTGGAGCTGGTGAAGGCCATCACTGTGGTCTAGTGAAAGGTCCTCTGGGATACAACGGGACTTCCGGAGTTTCGGGCAGGCCAGATAAGACAACCGGAAGGGCCACATCAGATAAGGCATCATTCACTCTGGATGCATTAATGTTTCAATCGGTGACTGAAAGTCTCAAGGGAGGATGTAATCTACTGATCTTGGAAAGACCAGAGTTCCTGGGTGAAAAAGGATAAATAACACGCAACTGTTGAAGTTCTTGTAAAGTTCCTTAAAATATTCAGACAATGCTTCAGTATTTCAATAATTTTATTTTGTCGTTTCTCAGGAGAGCCTTATTTGTTGCATATGGACTTGAGACACCATGATTCTCAACCATCACACAAACACAAACACACACACACACACACATAGATACATTGCTGCTGTGATAAAAGGTGTTCAAACCTGTAAAATATTTGTTTTCACAGAACAGTGAATCTTCGCTAAACAGAGGATGTGATCGTAACGATACAATTCCAGGAAAAAGCTGGACGTATATATTTCCTGGCAAATTATAATTTCAGCGTAAACAATGATGCCTCAGTGATGTTGAGGTAGTAAAGTCCTGTCGTCCATATTACCTTGTTACATTATAATGAATGTTGATTCAGACATTCAGCTACATCAACTATAACACCTCCGAGCAAGTGCAATGTCTGTCACATCTGTCCCCTGTGAAGTGTCCTTAGAGAAGACAGAAAGCACTGCTCCTGACCTCTGACCTTACTGCAGGTAGCGGCACTGACTCAAAGTCTAATCATTGTTATTACTATATTGTTATTTCCAGAAATAACTGATGCTGTAGTAAATATGAGTAAAAAAAAGAAGCCTATGGTTTTAATGATAAAGCAAAATAATATAATGACTGCAGTTTCCACCCGTCAGAGAAACGTCTTTGTGCTTACAGTGGTTTTTCCTGTTTACTAAATAAAACCAATGCCATCCCTTTGGAAAGGGGTTATTTTTAACATTTAATGCGTACACTGATTTGACTGGATGTGAAATGACTGAAGAACTGTTTCCTAGACCCATTGTTATATGTTTCTGTTGTGCTTTATTCCCTCTGAGCTTCTCAGGGAGCTGGGGGAGGGAGGAAACCTGCACAATCAAGTGAACTCATTTGCTTCTGGTTGGTGTGTGAGTGTTATTATCGTGTGAATATCAAAGTGTTCCCAAATATAAAAAAACGAAACCACAAAAAAAAGAGGACGTCAGGAGAGAATCAGATTGTATTTCACACTCACACTGTGTCAGAAAAATCAAGCTTTGATGATCTGGGTTGAACCCTGAGGGACATTTCTGTCCTTTCAGTTTGGTTTTTGTAATAATGTTGGCTGTGTTAATGCATATGGCATGACATTATCCAAAGGTGTGTATTTTTGTGTGTGTAACTGTTCCTGTAATATATCTATTTTACATTGTGTAAAC